TGACGCCATCCCAAAGCTTCATTAAGTCATCTATTAGCGGCGGTAAATATGTGTCAATATCATTTCCAGGACCTTTTGGTCCAGGAATGATCATTGATAGGATAAAAGACGATTGTTTTAGGTACATCCATGGAGGCATGTTATAAAGTATGAGCACCACAGGCCATATACTATGAGTGCTGCTCATACTTCTATGTGGACTAAAACCATCGCTATTGAGACCGAATCTGATATTACGTGAATCACTAGCAAAACTAGGATACCTATCATCGAATGTTTTCCACGCTTCTCCATCGGCTGGATGTCGTAACAGTCTGTCCTTCTTTCTACTTTCATCATGCCACCTCATGTGCTTTGCAGTTTTCTCAGAAGCAAAGAGTATTTTAATCTTGGGATCAAAGGGAAGTAACACAAAATCTTGGTTACTCTCACCTTTTTCCTATCCTTTCCCTCAAATTTATATCGAGGTTCATTGCAAACATTACAAGCATCCAAATCTTTGGTTGTATTCCAATACAACATGCAGTCATTTGGGCAAACTTCTATCTTCTCATAATCCAAGCCTAACGTCTGCACTAGTTTGTGAGCCTCATAATGGGATTTCGGCAAGGATACACCTTCCGGAAATGCATCAAGAAAGAGCTCCAGAAGCATGGTGATGGACTTATTTGACCAACGATTAAGGACCTTTAAGTGATATAAGTGTAATAAGAATGACAACTTTGAAAATGTTTTGCAGCCTGGATAAAGCTGATCATCTACCCCTCTTAGCAATTTTGCTATGTCAGCTGCATCTTTATTTGTTCCTACCTCATCATCATTTTCTTCTAAAATGTCTTATGTGTGATCATTTTCTTCTAAAATTTCCTCCAGATTGTTTACTTGATTTGTACTTACAAACACATCATGAAGCAACTCATTTAAATCCACTCTCATATGTGGATTTGATTGTGCAGAGATAGACTCTTGTCTTTCTCTTGTGAATGGTTCATTTAGTTGAACAAGGGTAGGCTCTACTCCAATAGCTGTCATAGAAAACCTAGGTGTTCTTGATGAGGAAGATGTCGGAACATTAGTACTAAGCGTCTCCCCATGACAAACCCAGTTTGAATATCCCCTTAGAAAACCGTCACAGATAAGATGAACTCTAGCATTCTCGTATGTTTTTGAAGACACATTTCCACAACGGATACATGGATAGAGGATCTTTCTGCCACGTGAAGCATTTTGGAAGGAAAATCAAGAAACCGACGTACCCCATCTTTGTATTCGGTGTTATTCCTATGTTTATCCATCAAACTCTTATCCATTTCCACAAAGCAAACCAAATCTACCAACACTGTCTAAGAAAAGAAACAACAACAAAAATTATTAAGATGTTTTTCTAGAAGCGCTCATTTGTTTCCATACATTTTCTTAAGCATGATTATTTGTATTACGTTTCAGGACTTACAAGGTTGTTTGTCACTTAGGAAGTACCAAAAAGCAATCAAACACGGGAAGGGGTATCAACGTAGGAAACAAATAGCATACAGGCCACCACAATCAAAATCAAATTCAAACAATTCAATATAACTCAGATTTGCAAAGTTCAGTAGGAATTTCAAAACTCTAAAGCCATTAAGGTTGAAATTGGATCTGACCTGGATTCGGAAGTTGTCACGATCGAAGCGTCTGATCTCTCAATTGAATCAAGATTTTCGGTCAAGATTTTGTTTTCCCTTCTAGCAGGCTATATTTTAATGAGAATAAATGATTCGGGCTCATTTGTACACTTTTTATTTCCGATTCGCTTAGTCGTTTGGAGCAATTTTACTCTGGAGGTTTGGTTTTACACCGGCGTTTACACCGGGTTTTGCCTTGTTTTGGTGCTTTTCCGTCTTTGATAGGTGGAACCAACCCCGAGTCGAAAGTTGGATGAAAGGATGAGAAATCGAGTCAAACAGTGGATGCAGCGGCGGATCATGGTTCAAGCAGTGAGATCACGGTCATCCAGACCGTGATAGTCCAGTGTCCCAGCTAGCAAAATCATTTTACTGGACACTACCGTGATCCAGAATCCCAAGCCACGAATTGCCAGGATCGCCAGCAAGCCGAAATGTTTCACTAGACACAAGCCAGCACCCGTGATCTGGTTAATGATGTTGCACGTTTTGATTCGGATCACGGTCCAGAAGTTCAAATCACGATCGTGATGTGGGACCGTGATCTGAGCCTGATCTGGGTAGGCTTGGAAATGGGGCGGATCGGGGCCGGGGCAGGTGTAACACCCTAACCCGGCCGGGTACTACTTTTACTAAAATGCCCTTGATAAATAAAATACTTAAATCTTAAATTGTAGCGGGAAAAATTTTCACAAATAAAATACTGGAAACACAATTGAAGTTCAAAGCAAAGCCCTAACACGTGGGCAAATTAAACTCAAACTTTAAATCTCCAACTGATCTCAAAATAATCTCCAGTCTGTACTCATAATCATAAATGTAATTAACTAGTAAACCTGAAGTTATTGCTACTGAAAGCCTTGACTAAGCATCCTCCGTGACGCTTATACTGCTCTCCTCTAGCTGGCTGCCCTCGAAATCGCTGCTCACTAAATGCTCCTCTAGCTCTTCAAACTGGTGAGTGAGATGGGGTCAGTCTACGCCCTTACGTTTTAATGATTCTCATACTTGAGTACTTTACTTAAACACTTAACTTTAACTGGTGGAAGTTGTTTTGTACTTCCAATCTTAAAACTTTAACTCTTAAACTCTGAGGGAGTTGAAATTACTCTCCTCTCTTAAAACTCAAATCTTGACTTAAATACTTGACTGACACTGGGATCCCCTCACTAACTAGTCCAACCGCCCAGCTCATACGTATGAGGGCCAACATAGGCCTTTCTTTAAACCTGTTTATGGGAGTAATCGATTCAACCCCATAAACCTTAAGAGTATATCATACTCTTCCTTTAAACTTCATGTGATGTCTAAGTGATTCATCCACATGTTCCTTAAGAGCAAACTCGCTCTTCCTTTAAACTTTCACTGGGGCGGGGGACTGGCGTTAGTGAACTAACTTTAAATCTTTTCACCCTAATTTAATTAGGAGTGAAATACCTCTTAAATGTTGATCCTTAAAGATCATCCGACCTTCATTAATTAAAACATAATATAAAAGCTTCAAGTAAATACTGCCAGCTCAATAATCATATACTTCACAATCATAGCTCAATTAGAGCATCTCATATAATATCTCAAATAGAACATGCTTTATCAATCACGACATAAATCAATCACTGGTATACAATTCACATAAACACACATACGTAAAACTCGTAAGTCAAATACTAGAAAATACGTAAGGCGTAGAATTTACCCCATTTACACTCACCTCATACTGTCGAACCCGACTCTAATTCTGCTCTAAAAATTCCATGTATTGCTCCCATTAAATTCTATTCGTCCCCACGATTCCATAGGCGTTGACGGCTCGTCGTTTGGACATCAATGGAAGAAATTATTAGCAAAACTCTATTTATGTCTAAGTTATATAAGTAGACCATCTACTCATTAAATAGACCGAAGAGTTTCGAACCTTACCCAAAATTTCAAACGTCATATCTCCCTCGTTTGGACTTCAAATCGGGATCCGATGTTTCCTCCGACTTTCTTGCGAGCAGCATTTCATCCGGGTGCAAAAACCTCATTTTCGACCGACGACTCCACCAGTGGGTCCCACTCATGACCCGATTCCTCTGACTTTCTAAAACATCCCCAAACGTGAGGCTCGATTCCACGACTCCAATGGCGTCAGTGGTTTGCCACTCGGACACCAAACGAACAACTTATGAGCAAAAAAACGAAAATAACCTAAGCTCTAACATTACCTATTCTACTATTCATCACCCTAACATTCTCCACCCTAATGATCAAACTAAAAGCCACTATAACCCTACTAATAAAATAAAACTCATAACTACGAAACTTACCCGCAACTATGAAGCCCGAGCCCTTAGAACCGGCTCTGGTGATTCTCCAAGCCTCCTCGCCGAATTCTTAAACTTCGTATCCACTCGACGGCTTTCCCGTCGATCTCCGGATACGATTCCGGTATTCCCCCCTTTTAAATCGCTCCTTCCCAAGGTTTAATCGGGGAAAGAGCGAAGAGGAAGGAATGGTGTTTAAGGTTCACCCCTAGGCTCTATTTATAGGAAGATGGAAGGGGGAAATCTTCAAACTCACCGATGTGGTATTTTGGCGATTTTCTTAGCGAACTTTGGGCATCAATTTCTCCCTCTTTCCTTAACCATTTGAAGCATATGAATGCACGATTTTGATCTCCAAGTGTAGGAGAACACAATGATGTCAAGAACTGACACTTTCGAGCAGCGGGTCCCTCTTAAAACGAGGCTCAAAAACCCTACAAAAACTAATGTTAAAATCAACGTATCTTCTTCGTGTGAACTCCAACTCCACTTCTGTTTGTGCCCACACGTCTGTATTTATGTCCTCCACATTTCCCATGTAGAGCTTACCATGAAATTCTCTCATTTTCTTACCGAGAATCGCCATTTAGCAGTACTATCACTATTTGGGCACTATACAAGAGTACTATTTGCAAATACAGTACTATTCACTGTACTGAACACTATTCATGTATATGAAATACTATTCAAATACATGAAATACTATTCTCATATACGGAATACTATTCACGTATACTAACGAAACACATTTTTACAAGTGTTCAAATATCCTGTCCTACATGTCCCGACTCAATCGACTCGGATTGGTTCGATTGATTTTCCAGAAGTCTGAAACCGGGATGTTACAGCAGGCCCATTCGTCACCCCCGAAACCAACGGGTAACGGGTTAGAACCCGTTATACCGGGTTTACCCGACATAAATCAACTCTACTGAATCCAACAAAAAAGCAGAGACAATACATAAATTGAAACTGAAAAACTGCATAAATTGCATATGAAATCCACCAACTTGCAAAATCCAGCAACCAGACATCAATAATTCATCATCCAAACAAAAGAAAACATGTTCGAAATTGGATTCCAACATCCATAAAGGCATATAGCCATAATCCAAACGAAATAAAACAAGTTCCAAATTGAACCAAACAACAAAAAAGAGCAACAGTAGTTCTCTTCACCCTTCAGTCTTATCGAGCAGCACCATCATCAAGCGATCACCATCAGTCAGCAAACAAAATCCAACAGCCCAGCACAACAATCACCAGCAGCACACTTCAATCTTCAATGTCCAAGAGTGTACGACTCTGGCTACCTTGAAAATCTGTGGCAATTTAAGGTACTTGTTAACTACTAACTTAACTACTAACTGAAGATAATTGTTCATAATAATAAAACAGAGCAGAAGTAGTGAAGTACCTTCTTTCTTAAACTCTTCACAACTTGGATCCTCCATTGTCATCGCAGAGAAGCAAGTCTCCAAACCTTGAATGTCAGCCTTTCCAGCATCTGCGTATTCAAGCAGAGTATAGTTAACAAAACTTGAAATTAAAACAGACCGGGAAATAACAAAAATAAGAGCTCTTACCTTTGCAAATGTCACTCTGAATCCAGCTACGGGGGCACATGAGTGGCTTGACAGTTTCAAAGTGCAGCCTACTTCGGTGAGGATCTAGCAGCCTACCACCAGAGCTGAAGGCTGACTCAGAGGCCACAGAGGTCACTGGTACAGCAAGCAAATCTCTTGCTACCTCTTGTAAAAGTGGGTATTTTCCAGCATTCACCCTCCACCAATCCAAAACCCCAACATTTGAACTTCGAGGACTAACATCCTCACAGAGATAATGATCCAATTCAGAGCATAGTGAAACTGTTTTGGACCTTTTCCTTCGGCTTAAATAAAGCTCAAAGTCAAGGTCACCAGAATTGGCCTTAACACCATTAACAGAATCAGAGGAGGCAGAATGGTCATCTCTGCCCTTTTGTTTCAACTGATACTCACGGACAACATCATAAACAGTGGCCTTAACAGTCACAGGATCAAGAGTAGGATCAGAGGCATTGCTCTTATCATAATAGTACTGAATCAGCTCAAGTTTGTATGCAGGATCAAGAACAACAGCGACAGTGAGCAATACATGGATATCAGTCCAGTATTTGCTAAACTTGGCCCACATTTTTTCAGCCATTTCACAAATGATGCTATCAGGATCAGTCATCCACTCAAGCAGATTCAATTTCAAGTCACAGATCCTTCGAAAGAATATATTAGCAGTAGGATAATTGCTTCCAGAAAGAAGCTCAGAAATATTTCTGAAAACCTCAAGCTTTTTGCTAATAACAGTAGCAAACATCAAATCATCACTGCTAGGCAAGGAAGTATAGTTAGGTTCTCTCTGATTCAAACGAGTGAACACTTCCTTGTATGGAATTGCAGATTCAAGCATATGCAAGGTGGAATTCCACCTAGTAGGGCAGTCTAGTGCAAGTTTCTTTCCAATACAAACATTCTTTTGCCTAGCAGTCTCTTCAAAGAACTCAAGTCTCCTAGGAGTTGCAGTCCGATACACCACACTTTCCCTTATCTTTTCAATCCCATCTTTTATAATTTCAAGCCCATCTTTAACAATTAAGTTAAGAATGTGATCCGAACATCACATTTGCAGGAAGGAACCATTCAATAGAAAGTCAGACATAACCATCTTCCTTTTAATCTTTTCAATCATGGCATCATTTGTAGAACAGTTGTCAAGAGTTATAGTGGATAACTTACAGTCCACATTCCAGGACATTAGGGCCTCTCGGAGCACACTTGCAAGTTTCTCACTAGTATGGGGGGCAGGAACATAGAGAAACCTGTCATACACTCACACAAACATCAAATGAAGCTCGAAGTCAGTTTCTGTTAAGTGTTAAACAAATAAACATCAAAGAAAGAACAAATTGAATAAGCAATTTACCTTAACAAGTGGCTCCTAAGGTTCCAATTGTTGTCAACATAATGAGAGGTTACAGCCATGTAAGCCCTCTTCTGATTACTTGCTGTCCACATGTCAGTTGTGACAGCAATTCTACCTTTGTTACCATCAATCATTTTTTGAATCTTTTTCCTCTCAATCGCATACAAGGCAAGAATATCACTCTTGCAAGTGTTTCTACATGGAACTTTGAACAAGGGTTGCAGAGAATTGCAAAATTTTTTGAAATATAAGTGATCCACCATACCAAGTGGATACTCGTGCATCAAAACCATAGTGGCAAGTTCCCTCCTTGAAACCTCTGCATTGAACTGACCAGTACACAGTTCTTTCTTTCCAATCAAACCATTAGGGAGGAAATTAGTGGCAATATTTTTCTGATTACCATCGTGAATTTGTTTCTGAACACACACCTTTTTATGGTTCCTCAAATGAGAGGTACCATTGCTAGTGTCACCACCAAGAACCTTTCGACAGTACTTGCATCGTGCTTTCATTACACCATCTTTATCCACAAACCTTGTAAAGTGAGGCCAAACATCACTTTTCAGTGGACGTTTGGCCCCAAAAGGCAGGGGAGAGGGCTCTGACTCACCACCACCACCAGCACTAGTATCAGCATTGTCATTCGCAGCTGCTGGTGCATCAACAACAATCACTGGTTGATGCTGTTGTGGTTTAGGCATGGGCTGAGGATTGGGGGGTGGGAGTGGGGATTGAGAGTTGGGGGCGGGAGAGAATTCAAATCCTTCCATTAATTACCTGCAATCACCCGAGAAAACACACCAATGAAACCAATCAATCGCTGCTAAATTCCTTGAAACCTCAAAGAACAAGGAGAATCAAGTAGCATTACCTTTCTAAGCTTCGTTACTGATCAATGACAACCCCGCCACCAGAAACCCTAACATCAATCAACAAAGTCCCGAGGTATTAGACAAGTCACAAGAGACAAGTTGTTGAAAAAAATCTTGCAAATCCCAGACGAAAGGCTAAGAAGAACACCTACGGTTGTGCTCCTTCACCTTGCAGATGCAGTGAGCCAGTGACTGGAAATCGCGATTGCAGACAGCTGCTAGCTTACTACTTCTCTCTACAGTGGTCTGCTTTCTGAGAATCTGGCAATCTGCAGCAAAAAACTCAAGTAAGGCATTTATAGGCGCATGCATGAAGGGGAAAAAGAGGATGGTATCGAACTCGAAGAGTCGATAAAGGGAAAATGGCGCTGTAATCGCCATCGGGAATGGCTCGATTCGAAAAAATCAAAGGGTTTGCTCTGATTGATTGGGTATCTGCTCTTAAAAACAATGAATGTAATGATTTTGTGCCGTTTTTCTCACAATCGAAGAGCATATTGCGAGATTTGAGGAGAAGAAGAAGGGACAGAGTTGGGGATTCGATTTTTTAGACCGGCGCTAGGGTTTGTAAGGGGATGAGATGTTTTCACGAAATGAGCTGGGGACTGGGTGGGGTGGATGATTTGAGGGGAAGCGGGTTTCGGGTTCTCTCGGGGCGGATATTCAGAAACCCACCACCGCCCGACAACCGACTGTAGCGGGTAACGGATTCCCCGCAAACCGTCAACTATCCGTTTGACCGGGTTTTAACCGCCACAAACCGGGTCGGGTTCGGTCGGGCACCCGGAATTCAGGTTCAATTGACAAGCCTAGATCTGGGTATAAAAAGGAAGAGAGCTGAAAGGAGAAGAGACAGAGACCTAAGGAGAAAAACATCATCTTCCTCAAATTTTTAGAGAGAGAAAGGACAAACCAAGAAAGAAGTGAATTTAGGGTTTCGTCTCCAAGCTAGGAATTGGGAATTCCTCCCCAAAGGTGGATTTCTTCAGCACAAGGAGCAAGCCTAGCTCGTCCATGATGGTTTTCCTTCTTCTCCCTTGTGCTTTCCCTTCTCCAAGCATGGAGTAGTTACTCGTTTCACTTGGGTATTTGTAAAACCCTAGATAAAATTATGTGAAACTTGTATGGATTGAATGTTTGTGTGTTTGGTGGTGTTTTAATAAGAATTTTGAGGTATTATTCATGATTGTTTGTGTTGTGTTGTGTTGTGTGAAAACCTAGCAATCTAATTGCCATTCTAACATAGGTAGAGATAGAAAACCCCCTTCCTTTCTTTGAAAGAGGCTTGAATGCTGGGTTTTCTTGGGCAATTCATTGTCTCCTATCTACATTAACGTAGGGCAAACCTCTACCTTCTTATTAGCACTTAGGCTTTGGTTGTAGGTGACCGGTTGAACTCCGATTGAAAGGGGAAGCTCAGGCAATCCTTAGTCGATAGGTCGAGAGAGTCATTTTGGTGGCTTGGGTTGAAATCCCTATCCTTGACCTTAATCGTAAGAGATAGAGGCGCATCGCCTCTCGTTGCTCTTCCCTATGGTTCACAACTCCCTTCACCACACACGATCATTTGATCCAACGAGTCATAGTTGTTAGCTAGGGGGAGAAAATACCCGAGTGAGTCCTTCTCTATTAGAGTCAAATCCTTCTACTTTTCAAGTCTTTTAACCTTAGTCCGTAGTTTTTACCAAAAACCAACCGCTAAATAATGTTATAAACGATTGAAGTAGGAGTACATGAACCGGCCTGGATCGATATTTCAACATTCTTGCCTTATACTACACCCTTCTACGGTTTAGTAAACTTAGGATTTAGAAGGGATTCTTTGGTGTGGTATTTGGGTTAAGTCAATACACTCAGATGCTAACACTCGGTTCCATGATATTATATAGAACTAGCTTATATCCCAGGTCATTGGCCGGAGGTAGCTTAGCCAATAATCCATCATGGTATTTCTAATACAGGTAATGACAATGCTTAAATTCATATTGGACAACAATTTTCTTGCAATTTTGCAATCCCTGTAAGTAAGAACTTATCATATAATTATCAAAGAAATTGTTTGAGCCCTGTTGGCTGTTCACGCCTTGCCTCCGTACCGCCTTGGTTGACTCGCTTGCCCTTCTTTCCCCTGGCTCCTCGCTTGTACTCCTCTCTCCAATGGAGCGCCTAGACCCTGCAACGAAGAGGCGCACTGCGAACCTCGAGGGTTCGTTAGCACTCCAACGATCAAGTCAGTCCTTGGAGTCTAGAGAGAGAAGTAAAAGTGAGTTTAGTGAGAGAACCCGATCTGAGTAAATGAGGTTCACCTACTGTTCTATTTATACCCGGAGCCCCCTCGACCAGTGCCCCCCAGATCCACCCTACGTCATCATCGCAATAAATGCGATGTACCTTTTTCCAGCCATGCGCCTCGACCACCTGACACAATGTTCAGAGGTCTGAGGCACATGACCTCACGATTTCTGCCCTCCGTACCGCCTCAGCTGCTGGACCACTTTGTCTTATGCGCCCCTTTGTCAGAGGCTGGGTCCCGCTCGGCCAAGTCATCTCCACCATGATTGGGCCCAAGTGAACCATCATTGGGCCTGGGCCTCCACCAATACTTCTTGGCCCCCTTTACTCACTAGGCCCATTGGCATCCCCCAATAATTGCCCCCCAGTTAGGTGCCTAATCCCCTCAAATTAGGGGCCTAACTAGCGCGCGGCTTCGTGGACTCGGGTCGGGTCCCTTTTGTGAGGAGCCTCCACAGCTTCCTCTTTGTATTCCCTGAGCTTTCGAACCAGCTCTTAACCACCGCTGGCGCTGCTCCTCGGGTCCCCTTGATGCGAGACGCCTCCCCCTGGCCGGGGCGCCTTGCGCAGTTCCTTAGCTTCCCTCGATTAGGGCGTCTCCCACTGGCCGGGGCACCTTACACAGCTCATCAATTCCACCTGACTCAGGTCCCTTGCCCAGCTCCTCGACTTCCCCCGATTCGGGCGTACCCCACTGGCCTGGGCGCCTTACAAAGCTCCTTCAACTCGGGCGCCTCTTGCCTCTATCAATCCTGCACCCCCCTGCGGTTTGTGGGTTTAATTTTTTTTGAAAAGCCAAAATATTTTCTATTTGCGCGGTAACCGTCATATTTTGCCCCTTGGAATTTCGTCTCGATCGCCGTTCTCTCTCTCTCCTACCCCCGATCCGGTTCGAATTTTGAATTTTGAATTCGAACCTGATTGGGTGACGGTTGGCCTCCCCTGTTCTCTCTCTCCGATTTCCCCTTCTATATATTCTACTCTCCGCTCTCCCTCCGCCTATACTCCCTCATTTGGCAAAAAAACTTCCTCTCTCTACTTTATCTCTCTAGGTCGTCGGCCATCTTCGGCTCCCGCTCGCTTGCATGCCCCGCGATCTTGCCGTCCACCTCGTCCACGCGCCTCCTGCCAATGGCCTCGCCTGTTCCACATCATCCCCTGCGACTGACCCCGAAGCCACCACCAGCGCCGCGCCCGTCGTGCCTCCTCGCCCGGGCGCCTCCTCCTCCAGTGCGTCCCAATCTCGTGTTCCCCCAGGTAAACGCTTTTGTGGAGATCTTGTCCCAAGACTATTTCTCGCTTTTTCGTTCTGTTTCGCGCCTTAAGATGCATGACTATGGGCACATTGGGTTTGCGGGGAGCCTAGTTAGATATGCTCTTCTTCTCCTTGACCCTTGCCCGTGTCTTCGCCCTCTTCTGACGCAGGCCCCCCCGTGCCTGAAGAGTACAGATTCCATCCATGGGAGGATACCTGGCCCCCGGGGCATCTACCGACTGGTATTGGGCGCATGCTCGAGTATGAGGCGGGTCCGAAACACGCCTCGAAACAGCTACGCGTTCGGATGGAAAAAGTGATCGTGGTCGCGCAAATGTCGCTGCTGTGGCGGTACGCCCATGCGCCTCCTATTGCTCGCATTGGCGTGGTGGGTGAAAGATGGGTGGGGATATACCAGGAATATCTCCGCTTTGGCCTAAGGTTTCCCGTCGATCTTGTCCTCGAAGGCGTGTGCGTCTATGCGAGTGCCCAATTGGGCGCCTTTCGCCAACCGTCATTCTTTACACCGTGGTTTTTCGGCACAAGTGGCGCTTGATTTCTATCCCTCCCACCATTAAGCTCTTTCAACACTTCTTTCTAATGACGCCCACCAAGAATTGCTTGAGCCTTCAAAGGCGCACGAACCAAGGGTACCATTTTCTGCGGTCCGGTCAGAAGCTCGGGCGCACTTGGTTTTACTCTTTCTTTTTTGTGAGACCCCGGGAGACGCCCTTTTTCGAGAGTCAAACTCCTCCGATGCTCGAATGGTCTTTAGGATCAGAGAAGCGCTTCAACAAGGCGCCTTCTCTTAAAAGGACTGAACAAGATTATGCGCACACCCTATCTGTCGATCCTTATGACCTTGAAGTAACAAACACTTACGCCGGAATTTTAGCAGAATTTTACAACGATGCTACACCTTGAGGTTTTGGGCATTCCAAGTGCGCTTAATAGGCTTCCCTCCAAGGCGCTCCAGCTTGAACGTCGTTGGGCCGATGACCTCCCTGGCCCGATAGGGCCCCTTCCACTTTGGCGCAAGATTTCCTTCAGTCGCCATTGGTCTGAAATCCCACTTTAACACCAAGTTCCCTTGACGGATCTGGTGGGGCGCATCTTTTTGTTGTAGTACTTGACCACTTGCTCTTTCATATCTTGCAGTCGAACATAGGCTACATCCCGGCGTCCCTCCAACATCTCCAAGTCATGCACGCGCTCTGCTTCATTTGGTTGCGGCTCATGGTTCTCCACCCGAAAAGTTGGGAGGCGCATTTCCACCGGGAGT